AATGTTAACAATTAGCTAACAGAACTAACAGAATATTATAACTTGATGTTAGGTAAGGGCTACTTTCTTCAATTCGTATAGATGAGGAGCTAAAAATATCATAATATAAGGTAAGGGGTTAAAACCTACCAATTTTATAAGATAAGGGGTTAAAACCTACCAATTTTGTAAGGTAAAAGGCCTATATACTATGACACTTTTAGCCCCTTATCTATACGAATTAAAGAAAATAACCCTAACTTAACATGAGATTATAATATTTTGTTAATTTTGTTAGTTGATTGTCAATTTTGTTAACTGACTGTTAGCATCTGTTAGCATTCTGTTAATGGAACTAACATATAAAATTGAATTTAAATTTCATGTTTTTCTATAACAGAATGCTAACGAATGTTAACAATTAGCTAACAGAATTAACAGAATGTTATAACTTGATGTTAGGTAAGGGCTATTTTCTTCAATTTATATAGATGAGGTAAAAATATTATAATATAAGGTAAGGGGTTAAAACCTACCAATTTTATAAGATAAAGGACTAAAACCTACCAATTTTATAAGGTAAAAGGCCTAAAGTGTCATGTCATAAGATGAGAAGTTAAAACTTATCAACTTTGTAAGGTGAGAGACGAAATGTTGGTTTTTGCCTCCATTATGCACCATATAACATGATGGGCTATTACACTTCAAAATAAAACAAATTCTTAACAACTACCTAGCTGAAGTATAATATACTGGCACTCAAGATGTAGCCCAATGGATATATCGAATTAATATCATGAATAACTGTTAAAAACATCCGGATACCATACGCTGGACATTGTTTCAAAATATGACTCAGTCTGTGATGTCACACTGAATGCACAATAAGACGGGAAATTTTCGTTCAAGGGTTACTACAATAATGCTCCTTTATCTTTAACTGCCATCTTATGCTTGATGAAAGGCATCTGCAGTGAATGGATACTAACATTACAAAGAATGATATTTCATGTTGGGATAGAAGCATTATCATGTGATGTGGATATCTGCATCCATCACCATCTTCTTAGGCATCCTTTTCTCCAAGCAAGATCTCTATTTCTCAACTTCGGACAGAACACGGACTTTGCCATGTGGATACGTCTGTAATAAGTTCCCGAAGCTGATCTATGAGGAGCTTGAGATATTCATTCTTGTTTGCGAGGTCCTGGATTTAAAACAAGTAGACCATTTGAATTAGTATTAAAAAAAGGTTAAATAGGGTTCTTTTAAGGATTAAGATTTGAAAATAAACATCACTTGTTAAAAATCTGGGAGATCCTCCAAAACAGTTTAAGCACCGTTATCAACAAATTACTCAGCTTTGTAGGCCAGATATATGGGAGTAAATTGCCTAGTGATTTAAATAAGGCAGCACAACAAGCTGAATCAAAGCCATGCCTTCAACTGTTCGGAGAATGAGTAAAATCAGCCATATGTTTGAAATAATGAACAGTTCACAGCAAGCTACCTTTCTTAGATTAGAAGCTTGCTCCTCCAATTTCTCAATTTCAGCTTGATCAGCTGGACTGCTGTCAGCTGAACCTGTTTCAAACGCTTTTGCCTGTTTAAAGATGAAAAGCAGTTGAATAATATGATTCTTGAGTTAATAAAACTAATACGATAATTGAGCTTCTGCCACTACCACAGACCTCACTGAGTAAGATGATAGGCTTATGTGAAATGCTGTAAAAGAACATATAACCAATGGTGCTCATTACAAATGAAAGCAACATAAACATATAGAACATTAACATATGCAAACAATCTGCAATTTAAGGGATCTTTATAATTAAAGTTCTAGGGATCATCTTTTGCCTTTCAGAAATTAATCCAAGATATAAACCCAATGGATATCCCTATCCACTGTGCTACACTGCTCACAATAGACAAAACAATCCTCTCAACTACCTTTGTCAGCTTGGTACTTTCTGCCATTACATTCTACACCACGCCACTATTTAGCTTCATTTCCCTCTTAGAACGATTGTTTACAGATACCATAGTTGTCTCGAAAGATCCAGACTGTTGATTGGTTTAAAACATGGCAAAAAGAAAATGCACAGAATGTATATTGTCTACCTTCATGGTTATATCGATTCTAGTCATCACACTGTATCTTGAAAATTTTCAATCCTTTCTAGCACGATTATGATAGTCTTAAAGATTAGGACCGAAATTTTGAATAGGAACATCAGTAAAGAATTTGCCAAAAATCCATAAATTAAATCTCCCAGCAAGAATCAAGACCAAGAAACACAAGATGAAAACCACATCACAAAAGCAAGAAAAGGAAACATGACGCCAATTTCTAACAGGATGGAATAGCTAAAATAGTAAAGACAAAGACGAAAACCAAATCATTTAGCAGAGAAGGAAAAACACGAAGCCGAATAGCTAACAGCAACAGGTAAAATTAGAACATGAAGTCATGGATTTCTCTTCTTCCCATTTATACCTTCTGAGAATTGGGAATTGCAGCAAGCACAGCACGAAGCGAGGCAACGGAGTTCTTATACCTGAAGCGAGCATCATCAAGAGCCCCACTGCCACTTCCCCCAATGCCACCGATATCTGAGTGATGCCCACCATTAGAAGCTGCATCTCCGTTGGCAATCATGGCACCGTTTGAGAGAGAAGAAGGTCCGTTAGATGTAGTGACGGCATTCGTTGAAGGAGTGGGGGACCAGAGAGCTGGGTTGCAGAGCTCGTCGTTCATGGAAGAGAGGATTTGGAAAGCAGCATCTATCGTCTCTTCTAGATGCTTCAGTCCTTCTGCTGCTAAATCCTGTGTCGTTTTAGGACCACTAGCTGGTGTCGAGGGATTTTCTTCCATTCGCAAAGGGTTTTTCCACTGCACTTTCTGTATGGCTAGCGAGAAAATGAGATGGGATTTGGTAGTTTTAGGGATTTTGACTCAGGGATTTTGACCAGCACCTTTAGGCCTTGCAGAAAAAGAAAAAACAAAGGGCTTAATTCAATTATTAGTCTGTTAATTAGTAGTTTAATTTTATTTTAGTCTAAAAAGTTTATTTTTTTTAAATGATCTATAAATTTTGAATAATATTTCAAAATAGTCCACCGTATAAAATTTTTATTAGATTTAACAAAATTTGGAAAAAATAACACTATAATTCTAATAAAATGTGATGACTCAAGAAATATTTTGTAGAGATAAATTAGTAAGGATTTGTAATAAACTTGAACAACTAGCTCAATTGTAGCAGAGAAAACTAGTCAATTTAAAATGAAAAGTTTTAAAAATAAATCTATTTTATAGAGCAGACTATATGTAATCTGTCTTGTAAAATTATTTAAATATCTTAAAAAATAATATAAAATTAAAATTAAAAGCATTTAAATAATTTTATAAGACAAATTACGTAAAATCTACCCTATAAAACAATTTTTTTTAAAACACATTTGGCAAAATAAGAATAAAAACTATTTTATGATAAATATAAATTTAAGGACTAAAACATCAAAAAAAATATAGTTAGAGGACTAAATATTTTTTATAGAATAAAAAGATTTCTGTTAAAGATAATAAACTAAATGAAATTAAAATAAATGTGAAATATAATAAATAGAATTGGAAGAATTCAAAGATAATAGATGAAAAGGAAAATAATATGAAAGTTAATAGATGATTTGTTAAATGGAGTAAAAAACAAAGTCAACAAGAAGTTTGAACCTGCGCACAGGTGATTCTAAAAATCTTTAAAAAAAGGCCCTCAGACTTTGAGTTCACCTATTAATTGAGAGTTTATGGACTAAAATAGAGATTTTTTAAGTTTAGTGACTAAATTAACGTCTGGATAATAGCTAAGGGACCAAATTTAGGCATTTAATCAATTACTCCCTTTCGTGGGTTTTTTTTATTTAACAAATCTGCGAGAAATTAGATTTGAACCGTTGCTCGAGGAGAGGAAAATACACTTTAAATGTGTCTTGACGTCATTGAACTGAAGGTCCAAGTGCCCTTTCATGAGTTTTTTTAGTTGTTTCAGTTCCTCGATTTTATACAAATTAACTTGCACCCTCTGGGAACGTGAGTTTGATTGGAATATATGTGCTCCGTCACCTCCCTTCGCTTTACTCCTCTTTTTCTTAAAATTAATTAGAACTCACTTTTCTAATACTCGTATTTAAAGGGATGGACCTGTTCCAACTTCATATATTTATTTATTTGCTTGGGTTCCGTATTTTGTTAAAGAATGGAGGGGCAATGGAACTCGTTTTCCATCAAGGTGTTCAACTCTATTACTTTTTTTTTTTTTTTTGTGAGTATTTATTGACAATTTTTTACAAAATTTATTCAATTAAACTGGTGTATGATATTTGAAAATTTTTGGATCTTGAGGTGATGAGGTCGAGAAGAGTAGAGTCTTCTTTGGCTTTGCACATCACCTATTCAATAAATTGCTCCAATGGGGTTATAATGTTTTGTTCATGTGATTTTGTTAAATTTTACTCAAGGGCTTTTTTTAAAGTTGATTTATTCATTATAATTAGGGTGTAATCGGTACAAAATTTAGTTGCAATTGAATTTCATATTCATGACATCATAATTACTCCAAATCATATATTAAATCATATATTTTAAAATACATGTAATCAAATTATATATATTTAAAATACATACTTTAAGTTCAAATACAAGTTATCAAACACAACCTTGATAATTTTATATAATAAATGAATGCCAATTGAAAAAAAAATTGTTTTAAATAAAAATAGCCAATAAGAATTACATATAGAGAAAAAGATTTTTAATTAATATATATTTATGAGATAAAACTATTAAATCAAAATTTATTTAAAAATTAAATTAAAACAACTAAATCTAACAAAGGAATAAGAAAGAACATTAAAGAATCATGAACCAGGGTGGGTCCGTTGCTTCGAGGAATAGAACTACAATGAGATATCATGTGATGAGTAAATGACTCGGGCAAATTTCAAGAGTTGTGGATAAGTTGTTGTCTGGGGATGTTATTTTTTTAATTTAATTTGGTTTTATATTAATAATGTTAAATGAGCCAGATTTAGTGAGACATAAGTTTTACACACTATATTTATACAAAATTTAAATAAAAAAAATGATTGGTACATCCTCGGTTCAATATATTTTTGACATATTTTCGGTTTAATCATTAAAAATATAATATAAATACAGTCAATTCAATCAGTTCCTATATCATGTGTGCATATTTGTGTCATTAAATTTGTCTGTCTTCAATTTCAGACCAAAAAATAATAATTTTTTAATGAGTGTGTCATGCAGTGTATTGAACTGAAGTGTGTATCAATCATTGTCCTTTAAATATTTTATCTCTCTATTTTAAATAGTTGAAATTTATTTATATTTATTAAAGATAATTATTTTTTTCATGTAAAAGGTCATGATAAATCTCAATTTTGAAAATAAAGAGATGAATTGTTGAGATTTTGTATAAATGTAATATATAAAACTTATATATGAATGAATCTCTTCCTATGTTAAATTATAAGGTTTGTTCGCATATTTCCAATGATTTAAATAACTCAATTGTTATCTTTTTCTGCTAAAAGTAAGAGATCTTAAGTTCGAGTCGCATGGTATGCAGGTGAGGTGGGATAAGGGATGAGAAATAGTTGCCTCCCATTGTGCAACTAAGATAAAAAAAAAAAAAAAAAGTTTGTTAGCATATTGAGTCTTGAGTTTTTAATTTAGGGTGAGTAACTGCTTATGCGTTTTTAATCTGCATGAAAATAAACAAACCAATGGAATGGACAGATTAAAAAGTTAAAGAAGCATTATCTCTTTAAAGTTTAGTTTTCTTGCATGTGGTTTGTGCTTTGTGATTTTAATTGAATTTTTCTCAATAGTATGGGAATCATATTTTTATACTAAGGGTACTGGGTGCCTAGCACCTTTTTCATGCATAATTGAACCCTTAAATTTAGTCATATTTTTATGCACATCAAATGATGTATCCCACCGTTATTTTGATTGATGGTATTGGTGACTTTGTCCATTTTTTGGCACATCAACAACTTACAATAATTTAAATATAATGTTAAACATATGAAGTATCATTAAACTAATTGATGCAAATCAACTATAAAATAACATATTATATTGTAAAAATTATTATACTTAAATCATTGTATATTTTTCATTTTCTCAAATGAAATATTTACTACTATACAAGGTGTTATGAGTTCCACAATGTAGTTAATAAAGTTAAAGAATAAAATAGAGAATATTTGCAATAATGTTACTATTTATCACGAATTTAATTCAAAATCTTTTAGGCCATATATGTAATAATATAAGCTTCAGAGTTGATTATAAGAAAAAAAAAAAAAGTTTGTAGGCCATATTTATATATATGCACACAAATAAATAAAATGTGATTTGTTAAATATGAAAGGACATAAATTTAAACATCAAATAAAATGAGATTGTTCTAACATTAAATTACAATATAAGTGTGGATTACATCTTCTATAAATCCATTTTAGATGTCTAAACAATTATTTTAAAATAAAATCATTAAAGCAGAAAAGGATTGGCCATTAACACTACTGAGAAAATAATTCCTTCACTTCCATTTAGACTCTTGATCGATTGCAATAAGAGTGTAAGAATGAAAAGGTAACTTAGAGTAACACATGAAACTGAATCTTAATCTCAAGATTAAGATGAACCTTATGCATGAGTGTTCACAATTTAAATAAATCTTCAATTTGCATCAGTTCACAATTTAAAGATTAAGATTCTGGGCGAAGTAAGAATGTGTGTTAGATGAGACTCCCTCTTCTAAACTGAGTATCACGCTCTTCTAATATAATATAGAATAGAAGGGAAGTGAAGTTTCATCTCATTGCAGAAACCTGAATGTTCTGCCCTTCATCATTTCGAATAGTTGACTTTTAGTCATCCGAAGAATCCACTCGAGCTGAATCACCATCCAATCTTTGTTTCCTGCTTGACCTCTCCTCGTTGTTCATTTGTAAGGTTTATTCCTTCTTTTATCATCCATGGTGGCATAAGAATTCGGTTGTGCCGAACCATGGATCTTGATCTATATATGGTTCTTAGTGTGATGGGAGCCAAGTTTTGGCAGATCCAGTGATCTTTTAAATAGTCGGTGGATTTGAGATAGGTTTCTTGCTAGATTTGAGCTAGCGTCTGCTAATTGAAATTCATTTTTGAATATGTAAATTTTAAGTATATTTTCACTTAAGAAAAGGTGTTTTGTAGTTCAGAGAGTGAAACATTAACTATTAGATGATGACACCTAAATAGTTGCAATTTGTGGGTATTCATGGGTGTCCATACACCTTACTTAAAAAGAATTTTAATTTTCAAGTAAAATTTATATCTACTCCATTCATTTTAAAATAACTGTTATTATTTGATTTTAAATTTGTTTCAAATTAATTGTCATTTTTTCATTTTTTAAGGTAAATAAATATTTTTTTCTACTTCAACACTATTATTATTTATTTATGTTGATTAATTATTCTAAAAAAATCTTATTTTATTTTTTAACATTTTAAAGTGCAATATAAATAAATATATGAATTATCTCCCAATTCTTAATGGATTTCTAACTTGTACCCTAATAAGACATAAGTTAAGTGTGCAATAAATACACCATTTTATAATTAATTTATATAAAAATTGATAAAAGTTAACTTGAATTTAATTAATTGATAAAAGTTACCTTCTGACGGCTATGGCTTCATCACAAGGGAATTGATCTTGCCCCTTATTCATCAAGTACAAATCTTGCTTAGGTGAATCTTCCATTTCGGATGGGATCTTGGCGGGGGCTATATTCGAAGAAGCTAGTACACTCCACTCTTCAATCTAATCCTCACATACAGAAGAATAGGGACACTGCTAGTGATTCCAGTTCTACGTTGCATGGGAAGTATATTATTCACGATGGAAAAGGGGCTCTTTTTCCCTTACTAAGCTTTGCCAGCAAGGGTTTGTAGTGGATCGGCATCGATGGGAACATGATTAGGAGTACTCGGCAATGATCGAGGTGCCTTGGGTTTGTCCGAAGGATTGGCTAAGAGGAAAAGGATATTATCGACGAAGCAGTTTGTGATTTTCACAAGACTAATAGTATTAGAGGTGGTAAAGGGGCTCTAGTTCCCTTCAACAGTTTTGGCAGCAAGGGATTGCGGAGGATTGGAAAAGATGGGGCCCATGTTTGCACTGAGGGGGTTAATACCCTTCTTTTTGTTGGTTAATTTTCAAGCACAGATAGGGTGGCAACCTATAGGTTGGGAACTATTTGTTGTCGGAATCCCTACTCTCCCCATGAAGCAAGTTAAATAGGTGAGAATGTCCAGTAGCTTCTAATGCTCTTAGTGACTCTCCTTTCTACATTGGTAGCTCTATTTAGCCCATACAGCAATTGCGATTGTAATCTCTAATTGCAGATGGCTCTCTTTACTTTATTGTCTATATTCGTTATTGGCATAGTTTAAATTCGTTATTAGTGTTGTAGGTTATGCTTTTGATTTTTCTTTAGGCTATCACGCTTTAGCTTATATCCCTTGCGATGGAGATTCTATTGTATTTTTTTTTAATATATTTCTCCATTTCCTATTAGAAAAAAAAAAAAAAACTGTTCACGTGGTATTAACACTAAAATAAAAGTTAACTTTTATTATTTTTTATGTAAATTAATTATAAAAAGATGTATTTAATATACATTCAATATATATACATTTAACCTATACACATTTAATCTGTGCTCTAATGGCACAGATTAGACGAATCCATTTTTAATTTAGAAAAAAATAATAAAAATAAAAATGGTTTAAAATAGAGTGAGTAATTACAATTATTGTTTTCATAGATGGAATGAGATCTAAGACATCTAAAAACTGGTAAGAGTAATTGACATTTATATCCTTTAGCTGGACTTCACATAACTTTCTCTTAAGAGAGGATGCCCTCTAACGTGGAGCAGTTCCCAGACTTTAGTATTAATATCACAAATTGAAAGCATAATTTTAATTTTTAATTAGTAAAGGACATATATGTTAATTTTGAATTATATAATGGCCTAATTTCCTCAGTCTATTTAACCTAGATGAGAACAGACCTTGACATGAAACGGGAAAAGAAAAGAAAAGAAAAAGTGAACTACGCCCGTGGCTTATAAATTGCGACTCCAATTTGAAAATTCATGTTTTATTAAGTCAGATGAAAAAAGATTTTAGAAAAAAGAGGAAGTAATTTTTTTTTAAATAAATTATTATTATTAGATGTATCAAAAATGAAAAAATACAAGGCAATATAAAGATCAGATGTACCAAAGGAAAAACACAAGGTAATATCGAGGTTACAAAAAGTGTTAGGTGATGACACACGGTTGTTCATAGTCTAAAGCCTAGAGTGCAGTAGTGCCTAAGCTGCCCAAGTAGTTCTTTTAAAATAATTTTTTGATATAATTTTAGAAAAATAAGAAAAAAATGTAAAATAATTTTAGAAATTATAAAATAAACAAAAAAATTAAATATTTTTCTATTCATTAGCATGTCTAAAGAGTAAAATTAAGAGGAATTTCTTGACATTTAATTTTTTTAATATAATTTTTTATAATAAATTAAATGATATCATTTCATTAGGTTAAAAATTAATGAAAAAATTACTCAAACACTCTAAGCACCATTAAGCATGCCTAATAATGCCTTGGCACGTTTAACTGGTTTGAATAGTACAAACCACATTGAATTTTTACTAAGAAATTGATGCAGGCAGAATGACACATCCTAGAGCTTAGGCGCTACATAAGCTTGCTTTTACAACATTGGCCAATATAAGTATTTTGTTATTAAATTTGTAATTTACATTAATTATACTTGCTTTGAGACTTAGAGTTTGCCTATTCCTTCCCAATCAAAAAGGATTAAGGCATATAGAGTTCAAGATTAACATCTTCCCAAACAATTTGAAATTAAATTTGATCAACTTTAATCAAAGACAGGTAAAGGTGAGATGACAACTTTTCCTGGTGCTCTTCTTAATTCTAGATGCCACAAAGCCTCCATCATGTCTCAAAAGGAGAATGGTTTAACTAAGACCGCACATAACATTCAAAATAATAATAATAATAATTAATTAATAAATAAATTGTTTATAAAGCTGCAGTTGAGCTAAAAATCGAACCAGGTATCGTAGTAGACACAGGTTTTGGGGGACACCATGCCATCGGGAGTGCAGACACTTATCCGCGGACAGACTCCACATGGTATGGAAGCCATTGCAACAATAAATCTATTGCCTTTATTGATGCGTTTATAACAAACTTTCCCAACTGGAATAGATGCAAACTCCCCAGTTCCCATACTCTTCACTTTCATCAGCTCATTATCACAAACGAGCGACTCAACAAGCTCTTCAACTTGCTTCTTTAACAATTCAACCTGTGAAACTTCACATTTTTTAGTGGCTTCCACAAATCCCTCCAGTTCCCACACTCTTCACTTTCATCAGCTCATTATCACAAACCAGCGACTCAACAAGCTCTTCAACTTGCTTCTTTGACAATTCAACCTGTGAAACTTTACATTTTTTAATGTCTTCCACAAATCCCTCTGGTGTAGCAACCTTTTGATTTGGTACAAACTTTAGACAAGTAGCTTTTAGAACACCTATAAAAGCGGCATCAAGACTGCCATCAGTATACCATACTCCACCAGTGATTTCAGTTGAAGGGTTAAACTCTACTGCAAGCTGCTGGTTAAAAAAAAAAAAAAAAATCTACTGCAAGGTAGTGCTTCATCCCCTTGCTCTGAAAGTTTGGCACAAGTCTTACCAGATTTTTGTCTTGAAGTGACTTGAGTGATTCACTAGCCAACTTGTCTAGAAGGTTAATTTCTCGTTTCAAGTCTCGTTGGGAGATACCCATTTCTTGCTTGCTCCGGATTGCATCGTAAACAACACGCTTATGTTCAATAACAGGATTGGAGTCTGGCCTTTTACGCTTCAGTTGAATCATTCCTATCAAAGACTCGAGCATAAAAGAGAACATCAATATCAAAATTTTAAGCTGAGTTTCTTGCAAGATGTAATTAGAGAGTTCAGTTTTTCAAACACAGATGTAACTTATGTAACAAACATTAACATAATAATTTTTTGCACATTAGAAACTCAAATTTTCATACAAGCATGAACAGATACACAGAGCTAAATAAGCAATTACATACAAGTACAAAAAAAACATTATCCTATTGAATTAGAATGAATTTCAAGAAATGGAGACCTCAGAAAATTCAAATCAATGAAAGCTTCTGTTTATTATAAAAAAAATAAAAGAATAAAAAAATAAAACCCAGATATTTAGTTCAATGAGAGCTTCTGTTCTTTTGCGTAGGAAAATTTTAAATTATATATTAACAAATGAACATCAGCTTAAATGTAAATTTCGAATAATATTAATAAATCAACATCACCTTAAATGTATTAAACGGAAACAAAGACAGAGAAGGGCTCAGAACTTCAGCAAAACAAAACCAAAATCTGCTTGCTAGTATATTGTTGGGATTATGCCCAACACCCACTACGGGCCACATGCAATAGGCCCAGTTGTATGCTTACAAGCCCAAGATGAGGAGATACACTCATGTGGGCAGTAACACGTGGGCCAATTGGATGCATACACGTCTGAACTCATGTCAGCATATGAGGCTATAAATACCCCCAACTACTTAAGGTATGAACTCCACTATGCTTCTCTCTCTGTAATTATTCTTTGAGAGTATCTCTCTCTAGAATATTGAGTATTGTTAACTTGAGTATCGGAGTGTTTTCCCCGAGGAAACATCCTTGGGAATTTCAAGTGTTGAAGCAGTCGAAGGTATCAACAATGTTGGATTGCGAAGCTACCCAAACATATATGAAGACCATAAATTTTCTTTTTTTCTTTTATCAAGACCAGACACAAAAGTGAACAAGAACAACTTATTAAACAACCTTAAAGAATAAAAGCAACAAACCTAGTAATATTAACCTACCCCAGTGTAATATCCCAAAATTTTGGGGTATTTTAGCATTAAATTGGGGACTTATTTGAGGGAAAATATTGTTTTGGGGCTTAATCGTAAAATTTTTAAAAGTGAGGGACTAAAAAGAAAGGAAATTAGGATAAGGATGAATTGCTTTTTCTTTTTCTTTTTCCTTTCTTTTCTTCCTCACTAGCCGCGTGTTTCTGCTCCTGCTCCTCCCCGATGCTCTGCCCCCCAACCCTCTGCACCCGAGAAGCCCCCCCAACTACCGCCACCCATTTTTCCGGCCGGAAATCCGGCAAAGCTTGGGGATTTCTCCTTATTTTCTTGTCTTAGAACACCT